TTCCCTGTATACGTTGATTGACAGATGTCTCGTCCAGTCAGCGGTGAGTAATCCCAAACCAATGGCGCTGTCTCAAACCATACCTACCTCTTCCGGTTTGTCTGATTTGTTGTTGTGTTTTCTGACTTGTTATAATGTTTTCCGAATTGTTGTTGTGTTTTCTGAATTGTTATTTTGTTTTTTAGACTTGCATTTGCGTTTGTAATTTCTTATTTTGTTTTCAGAATTGTGATTTGTTTTGCACTTCTCGGCCACCGTAGGAATGTCGGCTGCCTTTGACGTCACAGCCCAGAAGAGTTACAATTGTGAAGAGTTTGGGACTGTGAGTGATTTTGTGGTCCATTAACCAATTAGTGTTGTCAGGACGTCACTTTCCTGCTGCTCTAGGGTGAGCAGAGAACTCTTAAGTTAAGAAAACCCTTAGGCTACATCCACACGAAGTCAGAGCTTTCCCTATCCGATCTTTTTTCCCCTTGTCTCAAGAAATATCTGCGTCCACATGAAACCATGAAACCGACACAAAATGATGTAGTATACATGCCAGACCAGTATGTGGCGCTGTAATTCTGCCACAGAGATACACTAAAAACGGAGAAGAAGACTTGGACTATGCGCATAAACCTTGCACGCGGTATACAAACGAACATGGAACAATACATTTTATTAATCTGTTAATGTTAGTTAGTAAAAAGACAATCGTTCAGTGTTTGTTCATGTTTTTGTTGCTGTTACCAGGGCCACATTAACCATTGGGCTAGGTGGAGCTGAAGCCCCGGGGCCCGAGCAAGGAGGGGGCCCGTGATTGGCTGTGGAGTAGATTGACGGATATCGGTAGCGCCGATCGCCAAAGCCCCACCACGCCCCTCACTTTTTAGCGCTATTATTTAGTGGAGCTTTTCCGTAAATTCCATGCATTACCATTAGAGATTAAAATGTCACATTTGAATTTGGTTTACCAGTCAAATGCATTTATTATATATTTTACTTTTGAACGAACTGTGCACGTAGCCTATCTATCAGGTGATCGCTGCGCCGAATATCTGCATTCACCTCTCTTCACTTCATTCTGGTGAAATCTAGAAACGGTCATGCAAAGAACAATTTTCGATTAGTAAAAATGTCAACTATTCTAAAAAAAAAAATAGTGAGAGAAAAAAATGAGGAGAGAGGGGAAAACATGAGTTAGTCACTAAAATCCAAAGCTAGTTTCTTTTACTAAAGCTGATGATGGAGTGGGAGTTGTGGAACCGCAAATGGACCATACACATGGAGCAGATAAAAACACAGCGTTATCATCCCTACAGATTTTAGGTTAGTTTGATTAACTTGATAGATGTACAAACCCGATTCCAAAAGAGTTGGGACACTGTACAAATTGTGAATAAAAACAGAATGCAATGATGTGGAAGTTTCCAATTTCAATATTTTGTGTTTGAACAAACTCTATAGGCCTCGTAGCCTATATTCACTTATGGGTTGAGAAATTCATTTTGCGCGTCATGATGTAGGCCTAATCTTTTAATTTAAACGCATTTTAAGCATTGTGGTTTAAAAACTAATTTAACTGTTCAGGGACATTAAACAGTGGGGCAAAATTCATTTTGGTAAATGCGCGCGTTAAGACGGTTTCTGATACGCGCGGAGCGCACTTGCTCGCACAGCGCCTGATTAAACTAGTTATTTTTCGCGCCTTGTGTTTAAACGTTCGAATACACATATGTGTCAAAATGCTTGTCTCCTCATCAACACAGTCATATGTGTCTTAAATGAACGTTAATAGTTAAAGATAAAGCATGTACACTAGTTGGCTATTATGAGATCCTGGCATTATATGATGAGATTTTAAAGGGATATATTTCACCCAAAAATTTTAATATTATAGTATCAGTTTACACACAATACAAATACACAATACACACAATACAAATAATATAATTTACTCAGTTTCAAGTTGTTCTGAACCTGTATGAATTTCTTTGTTCTCCTCAACATAAAAGAAGATATTTTGAAGAATATTCATAACCACCAGGAAGTTTCTGGTCCCTGTTGACTCCAATAGTGTTTTTTCTCTCCATACTATGGAAGTCATGGGGGCACAGAAACTGTTTGGTTACCAGTATTGTTCCAAATATAGTATACATTTGCATTCAACAGCAGAAGGAAACTCATACAGGTTTAGAACAACAACAACATAACTTATAGCCTAATATAGCTGCTGTTGCCATTTGTGTCAATAATGAAAATTAAACATTAGGAAGAAAATCAGTGCTTTAAGTGTTTGTAGGTCAATTTCTTTGTTCTATTGTAATTCATGACTGTTTACTTGTCTTCAGTAAGTTTGTTTTTACATAGACTAGTATTTTTTTTATTTTGTGATATTGGAATTAGTAACAAGAATTATGAAATTACAATGCATCAAAAATTTTGATTGGATAAAAATCCTATTTTAAGCTATATATATCATTATTGTGATGGGGGGCTCTGCAGTAAGTCATAGCCCCGGGGCTCAGTGAGGTCTTAATGCAGCCTGTGCGGCTCTTACGTGACGTAGCGGTGTCTGACTAGAGGCAAGACGTGGGCTGATGACATCATCGTTTCAGAAAATTCGCTGCCCACACGAAAAGGCAAGGGTGGCATTTTCAGATTTATCCACTCTAGGACCCGGTTTCAAAAAATTTGCACTCTCCCAAAACTCCGGATCCGTGTGGACGAAACGCCTATACGATACAAAATGTATGCATATACAGCTAAACACATCTCCGTGTGGACGGGGCCTTAGTGACAAGAAATAATTTAGGATTTCTTACCTTAAGGGGTTGGCTGAAACCAGGCTTTGGTGATTAGAAAAAAGATAGTTTCAGCCTCAGACGTCATGCCCACGGAAGTGATGGAACTTTGGCTGAACGTCTGATGCATATGACACACAAAAGTGGAAACACTTCAGGAGTTTCTAAGTCGTCATCGGATTGGTTGAATTATACAGGATTTCCGAGAGACGTGTGTGTCGCATTCTTTAACGTTCCGCATGGAAACAAATATGCCGTGGCGCCAAACTCCCTCCCGAAAGAAGGAAGCCCTCGTGTTTACTGTGAAGATGAGCGCTTATCAGGATCAACTAAATGCTGGATTTTCAAAAGTATGTGAAATATTTAAAGTTCGTGGCACAGAATCTTTAAAATACGTCCGAGAGTTTTACACACCTGTCTGTTATTGTGCCGACATTTCCACGCCCTTAAACGTGACGCTGAAACGAAACGAACTGTGCGGGCCTTGGCCAATGAAAGCTGCCATGGATTCCAGACCTTCAGCCATCAGTCTGAAGGTCTGGCTACACGAGACTAGAAAAAAGATGGCAAATTCCAAATCACATTCTTCCAAAGGGTCATATGTCAGCAAAGTAACTCTCATTAAAATCAATGGGAATGTTAACAGATAGCTTTTTCCAGGTATTATAGACCTGCTTGCATCAGACGGTCACAACAGGATTTAAAACATCAAGTGATTATAACAGTATAATCAAAAGGTGAACAAAACTTGAGTTTTATGAGTTGATTGCTGAACAGTGCTAGTTCTATCCTCTAACTATCCTAGCTGTATAATTTGCACAGTCCGTTTAAAGACTCGCTTTTCTTTAATAATTGCTTACTTTGGGCAACACTCTTGAAAAAGCACTCCGCCTCACTCCCTCACAGCAGTCTTTTATGTTCAGTGGCAAATTAGTTTTTCTCACTCTCTGTCCCTCTCCATCACTCTTATATGGACAGGATGAGATATATAAAGTGAAGGATGACAGTAAACCTGGGAGTTCTCTCTCCTCAGTATGTCCTACCCTCACCCTTACAAAGAAGTATGGCAGCTGCACCATTGTGATAGTATCCAAAAAGAAGACAAAAAAATGTTGGGATCTCTGTTGAAAAAGACAGGTGGGTACACTCTTAAAAATAAAGGTGCTTCACAATGCCATAGAAGAACCATTTTTGGTTCCACAAAAAACCATTCAGTCAAAGGTTCTTTAAAGAACCTTTGACTGAATGGTTTTTTGTGGAACCAAAAATGGTTCTTCTATGGCATCGCTTGAAGAACCTTTTGAAGCACCTTTATTTTTAAGAGTGTAGCTTTTAAAACAGGTGGGTAGTTTTTCTCCTAGCCCCACTAAACTTGTTAGGCTGGTCTGTTTCGCTGGTTTTAAAGGGCATTTGGACACTTATCAACTGGTCATCCAGCTAAACCAGCTTAAATAAGTTTTGCCAGATTGGGAGACCAGCTAAACAAAAACAGGGTAAGAGATGAGCTAAACCAGTTCTAAGCTAGCTAGCTAAGACCAGCAAACCACCTTAGGCTGGTTTTCAGCACACACCCCAACAGCTGCGGTGGTAACACTTTAATTACATTCACTTCATTATTCACAATTAGTTTGCAGTGTAAAGTTTTGACTAGAATCAACAAAGTCTCACGGCCAATTCATATATATTTTACGAGCTGGCTAATTTCTAAGTTTAGGGGCGAGGTTAGGTGTAGTCCTTCATACAAATTCCAGCCACCTCATAAAATATTTAAGATTTTTCACAAGTCATTTGAATTCGTACGAGTATGGTCATACGAATTTGTACGAATTTGCCACCTTGTCAAATGTGTACGAATTGCCGTGAGATAGGATTGGAATCAACTATTCAGGGCTTATAAATTTGTCAAGTTATGTTTATATTGAAATCTAGTGTTTTACAGGGGTTTCTGTGAGGGTTATGTTTATGGGTAGGGGTTCAGTTGAAGTGTGGTTACATTAGCGATAATTCAGTGAAATTTTGTGGGCAAAAACAAGTGTATAAGATATATGAAGCACAGCTCACAAGCAGCAAATCTGTGTGGGGAACTCCTGAACATGGAGATTCCTATTGACATGACTGGATTTCAGAGAGCAATGGTAAATGTAACTGCCCCTTTAGGTGATCGAAAAACAATGGAAGTCCATAAGATGTTCAAGTGTGCTTGTGTTGTGTTACCTTGCACAGCCTGGAGTTTGTGAGTCTGTATGATGATACAGAGCTGGAGCACAAGCTGAGGTGCGCTCTCCAGAAATGTGGCCAGTAAGTGGAGCATGCTGACGTCAGCAAACTCGTACACCATCCTCCAGTAGAACCTCCAGCGGTCATTCTCTCCGCTCTGCCTGCTCCTAATGCCCAGATAGATGGTGTGGAAGTACCTGTGCGAGACACAAAGAAAACCCGTTTAAAACCTCTCTCACTGAATTCTCAATGGCAGGGCAGAATCAGCTTCTGCGACAGACAGACAGCTAGAATATCTCAATGCTTTGTCTGCTTTTCTTTTCAACATGACCTTACAACTGGACAGACTGTTCCAGGCTATGTTGGTCTCTGTGCTGTTTTGTAAACAAGATCTGCTGTGGATGGACCGTTTTGAACTGCTGATGAATTATATTATTTAATGTCAAAGCTGATGACTCAACACAACATCTCAAAATGATTCAACCAAAAATGGAACATTATGTCATTGTAATTTGAATAGTTAAATACTGAATCCTTTATAATGTGTGCAGACCACGAATAGGACACAAAATTGCATCTTTATCTTTTTTATTTAATTTCAACAAATGATCAGTGAACGAAGGTGTTTACTGTTAATTGTTAACACTAAAGGAAGTTAAATGATATATTTTAATGTTTTGTTATGTTTATGTTTTATTTATTTTTTTCGTTTGCAATATCTGCAAATAGTTTAAAGGTTTTTATAGATATAAACATAAATGAACATCAAAAATAAAAAGTCAATTTTTTTTTTATTAAAAACAAATAAAATAGTAAATTACAAGACCAAATGATGCATGGCGACTTAAAAATTAGAAACTTAAAAATAAAATTAAAAATAGTTTTTACAACAGTTAAAAGAATATTACTTCAACAGACTGTGAAAATTATGAAAATATAGTTTAAATGTTAAATACATTTTTTACTGTAGATTAACATCTCTTAGGTGGGACAGGCCAAGATTTCCATTTTAACACGGGACTACAGACATGTGATGTCTTTAAAACAAGCTACCCTTTATGCCAGATAACATACTTTATCTAATAGTTCTCACAACAAAAACACGGGATGTGTGTCTACAACGCTTTTTAAAAAGTCATGGGACACCAAAGTGTTCTGTATAAATGGAAAGTGCCTGTAACTATTACATTAAAAGAAAGTAAAGAAACTAAATTATTAAAGGTTTTGTGAGTGAATCTCGGTGAGGACATCTGCGGTTGGAAGTAACTCACCTCTTCATGGGTCTTTCTGCCCCTTTAGGCGTACAGAGCTCTTCATTTGCTTATAATAAAGTGAAACAGTTCCTATGCAAAAACGGAGCTATTTTAAACGAATTATCACTTCTATATTTACCTTTCTAATCTTCCTCCTATGATTCAAATGTAAATTTAAATCTTTTAATATGCACCTTTGCAGTAAGGTAAAGAATACAGATGAGCTTACAGTTCTTCTATACCCTCAAATAGTATATATACAGACATTTAACAAAGAAACTAAAAGTGATTATATTACATAATATGCAAAACTCTATTACTATATTCACATGTTATAACATGGGTATTAGGAAAATTGAATTTTGCTTGCTGTACTGGAAGAATTTATCATAGGCCTACTTACTAAAAATGTTAGCTTCAAACACCAATTAGTCATTTTGAAATCAAATCCATATTTTATGGTACCAACTCGACCAGCTGCAGCAATAATCTCAAACAAATTCACTTTTAAAAAGTCTTGCTCACAAAAAGGTTGGAAATCTGTAGGAATTGCTATGGCAACACTGGCCTCTTTGCAACAAAACACAGAAAGTTGAACAAACCCGCTGCTTTCACAGGAAAAGAAAAGGCTGAATGTGACAAACACACTCATAATGAGCGACTGCGACACAAAGATCTTTTAAAAGCGCTGTGTCATCTGCTAACAGTAATGGATTGGTGGTGAATGGTGTTAAGGTCTCTCAGTCTGAGGTGTGTTACTGTGGCCCGTGGGTTAGTGTGATGCTAAAGGCATCTGCTTGCAGTCACAGTGATGTGTCTTTGCCAAGTGACCCGTCCCTGCGTTTTCCAGAGAAATCCCCACTGTGTAGTTTACCCTTTGACCCTAATAGGCATCCAGCCAAGAACAGACACACACTTCCACTTACACACACTTATTCTCTCTCCCCAGAGATTCATTAACAGTAAGTTAAGAGCACTGCATCAGCTTGGCTGTCACCTTAACAAGAGGGCTTCCCCAAATCCACTGGCAATCAACAGTATTTTCATTGAATATGAAGGAAAAAAACTAAAACACAATGTGTACAAATGCTTATGGGGGATATAGTCTTGTTTGCACAATGCTTTGTCATTGATTTCTTTGAGAGTGGCTGCCGCCCCCTCTGTCTGATACAGTTTGTACTTTGATCATTTGTATGCAAAACATATGTACATTTTATAGTATACTACTTGCCGACTTCAATCAATTCAGAGGCAATGAGTTTACAAGGCTTATGGACAGAAAAAAATAATTCACTAAGGTAAATGTGGAGCAGTACACTCATATCAGACGGAAACAGCATGCCTTGAGGTATTGTGTTTGTTTCTTGAATATAAATGTATAGAAGACACTGTATCAACAACTTGCCCACCTGTTATTCCTTCATGCTTACTCTAGATCGGTGTTTCTCAAGCACTTTGAAATGTTGAACCTGTTTAATCTATACTGTTGAATATATAAACAGAATTTATGACTTTAAAAATATTAGAGCTGTCAAAAGATTACATGAATTTATAATAATGAATAATAAAAAAATATTTATAAAAATACAATTAATTTGTAGGCATAAAAATATTTTTAAAAATACTTTTGTGTAAATACATATATAAAACTGGATTTATGACTGAAAATATTAGAGCTGTCAGAAGACTACAATAATTTAATGTAATAATGAATAATAATAATAAAACATTTTTAGATGTTTTTAAAATGTAATTATTTTTTAATGAAATAATAAGTATATAAAACAGAAGTAATGACTTCAAAAATGTTAGGGCTGTCAAGATCATTTATAATAAATCTTTTAAGAATTTATAATAATTCATAATTGTTAAAGAATTAAGAAAATAAATAAATACATATATATATATATACATACATACATAAACCAGAAGTAATGATTTCAAAAATATTAGGGCAGTCAAAATAATTTATAATAATTAATAATGATAACTGTAAAAACATCATTTGTAAAAAATACAAATAATTTGAATGATTGATTGATTGAATGAATGAATGAATAATGGATACTACAGTATATTTATCAGACTGCTTCTATTACAGAGGAAGCTCAAGTCTTATACTCATCCATAGTATTGATTTTTTTAGTGAATCATTGCAATAATGATCATTTTAATAATATTTATAATCATTCAGGGTGATATCAAGTATGAGTTAACAGAAGCACATTTCTGGTTTGGTGTCAATGAAGCTGTGATGGCACTGTGTGGCTAAGTAAGATAAAACGGTTAGGAAACACTGTTCTAGATGTGTCAGGTTGGATGTTCACGGTATCAAACCATGGCCTATTTTTTGATACTGTCTTGCCTTTGCAATGTGTAGGCCTAGAATACAATTCATGCAGATCCTCAACAGATAGCAGAGCTAAAAACATGAAGCGCTGATGATACTCTTAAATGAAACACAGTTCACCCAAAGGCGCAAGTAAAGACACTATTCGAAAAATTAAATGAAGCAATAATCGCAGATTAAGTCTTTAGGTGTTCTCTGGCTCTGCCATAGTATCAGTAGTGACTGATTCAAAAGAAAACCATGACAAAAGTACCGCAGTCACCTGGTGCAGAGCAGCAGGGTCGCAGTATGATCTTGCGTCTGACCTTAAGAGTGGGCGTCTGTCCAGCTTCTTTATCAGATAAGTGGGCTTCAGAAGAGGCCTGCGCTTGAAAACAGTCTCCTGGCATTTCCACCACTCACCCTAAAGGCCAAACTAAGAGAGGCCTCTCATATGGCTGTTGTTTGGATTTCAGATAAGCCATGGGTTGTCTATGTTTCCGTCTCTGCAATATGTATCCCCTTCTTATACGGTCCACCTGAAACCACGAGTCCAAGAGGTCTGGCCAGCCACTGCATCATATTACTGCATGCTGCTTAAAGCATGCTATCTACCAAATCCCCATCCAGAATGGGATTAGACAGATGTTGATGTGCATCCTCTTGCCTTGATTGGATTATTCCTGCATCTCAGCACTACACCAATCAGAGGGGTGGGTGGTAACATAAAAAAGCTAAATTGCTTGAGGAAATCATAATGATTCATGCATACATTCAGATCACATATCAGTCAAAGACCACCATGTGCAGAGGTGTAAAAAAAAACAAAAAAAATTCAAAAATTGTCATAAATTAACAGATTATTTTCTTATCTTTTTAATAAACTGAATGATTTGTTAGCTCAATAATAGTTGTATAATAATTAAACTATTTAATACTAATTTAAAATAACAATAATAAATCAAAATCAGAAATTTTAATTTAATTTAATTTAATTTAATTTAATTTAATTTAATTTAATTTAATTTAATTTAATTTAATTTAATTTAATTTAATTTAATTTAATTTAATTTAATTTAATTTAATTTAATTTAATTTAATTTAATTTAATTTAATTTAATTTAATTTAATTTAATTTAATTTAATTTAATTTAATTTAATTTAATTTAATTTAATTTAATTTAATTTAATTTAAAGGAACAGTTCACCCAACAATGAAAATTATTGTCATCATTTACTCGCTCTCATTTTCTTTCAAAACCAATTATACATTGGTTAATCTTCTAAACACAAGTTAAGATATTTTAATGAAACCTAAGAGGTTTCTGTTCCCCCTTTGAAAGTCCAGGAAACCAAAACTTAGAGGATCCAAAAGGTCATAAAGACAGCCTAAAATAAATCTGTTCATTATATAAAGTGATGATATCTCTTTACAAGACTTGGATTAAAATTCATTTTTCAACTCTTTTGTGACCTATTTGAATCTTCTGAGTTTTGGTTATCTGGACTTTCAATGCAAAGAAAATGTTTCGAAGCTCTTATGGTTTTGGAACAACATGAGGGTGCATAAATGATTTTCATTTAGAATTTTCATTTTTGGGTGAAGTATCCTTTTAAGTAATGATAATGAACCAAACATGAACTCAACATGTATTTAAAAAGTCCATATGAAATTGCAAGACTTAAAAGGAGGCCAGAAGACTTCAGATCTATAATTGGAAAGCTAAATACACACAATGCACACACCTGCCTAAAGCAATCCAGTGAGAATGACATCATACAAAGCACATGCCTACATGTCAGCCCCATGCATTAAAGCTGTTGGTTTGGTCATGCTGATTTGAGGCCTGTAGCTGTGCACATCCTATCTTCCTGCTGACATTTTTCTCCTTCTCTTCAGGCTAGGGGCCTCCTTTTCATCACTGTCTCATTTAAACTCCCCAACCATCGCCGCTACTGGCCATCACATACACACACTCACAAGTGCATCATCCCTTGGCACAGTGTAGAGCTCAGTGCTTCCCTAACCTGCCAATCAGGTAGTGGAAAACAGCCAGAGCGCTTAGATTTGTTTGTACTTTTGTTGTCACAAGTTGCATCATATTTTTAAAGCTTTTTTTTAACTGCATCAATCAACCTAAAAAACGGCCTTTGATCCATCCCTGATCTTCACCTTTAATATTTAACCATTGACAATTTAACATTATGGGTTACAAACAACTGAGGCAAGTTCAGGCAACCTATTCAAATATTTGGAATAAGGAATATTAATTTAAATACATTTTAAATTTGTATATATATGTATAATTTATATATGCAAAATGAATGAGTAAATGAGCAAATATGAGTAAATGTTGTTCTTTATAACTTTCTATTCATCAAAAAAATCCTAAAAAATCATGATTTCCACAAAAATAAGCAGCACTGCTGTTTTCATCATTGATGACAGTACGATTTCTGAAGAATCATGAGACTCTGAAGACTGCAGTAATGTACAGTATATATATTTACATAAATTGCCCAAAACAGTCCAGTGAGAATGACATCATACAAACCACATTTCTGTGTTAGTCCTATAAGGACCTGTAAATTAAAGCTGTTGGTTTGGTGAGTCTTAGGGTGAATTCAGCTTAATTAGGAAATTTTTTCCCCCTGTCATCTCAATACCATCTCTCTCTCTCTCTCTCTATTTATATATATACAGTATACACACACACACATACATATATACATATACTGTATAAACATATATATACACACATACATATATACTGTATATATTGTATATATATATATATATGTGTGTGTGTGTGTGTGTGTGTATAAAACAGTTATTTAAATTGCAATAATGTTTCACAATATTATTGATTCACAGCATAATTTTACTTGAGGAAATAAATGCAGCCTTGGTGAGCATAAGAGACTTTAAAAAACATTTAAATTTAAACATTTAAAGAAAATAAAATGAAAATTTTTTGAATGGTAGTTTATATTAGCCCATATGAGGTGCCAGCACTTCAGTTTTTTATCAGTACATCTGAGGATCCTGAATCATTGGACTGCCACTCCATTCACAGACCAACATAAAAAAAAAGCAACGGCAGGATCTGTGGGCGGTGGATGGTTATTTCAGACTGAATGCACATCCTCCTGACCAGGGAATGAACCCTCCATAGTACACTTACATTATGAATGGGGATCGGGTCATTGTTTATTCATAACAGTTCGATTGAGGTTCCAAAGTCTCTCTCTCTTCCAGCACACCAAACAAGTTTATACACAGACAGACCATTTCTAGGCAGTGACACTATATTGTTTTTGACTAACTTCACTTATTAACCACTAAAAATCACTTGTTTGGTCAGAATACACTTCTAAGAATTGTTTAAAGTTATTTTTTTCATGTTTTAGCAACCAAGTGAGCCAAAAATAACACTCATGCTCCTTCATGATGCTCCAACCGAAGCATCAGTGAAGTTTTATATACTCCTATGTGTCAAGTTTGCAGTGTATCTGTTACGGTCAAATCATTCTTCCTCTTCAAATGTAGCTCTTGCGTCCCTATATACCTCACTCACAGGTGGTCACTCATTGAGATTCAGAGGAGAGAAATTCAATCAATAAAGCTGCACTGGACCGTCATGGTAAGAAATCATATGCTCTTCTATCCACTGAAGTTATACATACTATAACTTCAGCCGATTTGGGTTTATACACTGAGGTTATTGAATGACATGCATTTCCAGGCAGACATTTCACGCCTGAAAGAACTTGACCTGTTAATGGCAACAGGAGGAGCAGTCAGTGAGGAACAGGACTTTGCTTTTACAGTGGAAGGCGAACGGGACGGCATGAGTGACAGCCACAGACAGTCTGCAGGGCACACAAGGGAGCGCGCATGCTCTTCATCTGGTTTCTGGGCGCCAGGGGTCCACGCGCCTCCAGAGGAAGGATTATGCTGTGCTGGTCTCAACGCACAAACTTACGCACAATAAAACTCTGGAAAGAAAGTGCAACTTTTTGAAAAAACACCTTGATGATTAATTTATTGCCAGGCAATGCTATATACGTTTTTTTTTAAAAGCAATCTGCTAGAACTCTAAAAAAAATAAAAATAAATGTCGGCAAGTAACGGCTGTGACGATGATTTAACATCCATCATCACTCATACAAGTGAAAGATTACACTCACAGCAATATGCTGGCGATGCATGGATCGATGCCTGCTCGACTCGCTGTAAAGTAATATCAGTATCACTGTGTAGGCAGCGTGCTGTCACACAATGGTGGATGGACTGATGCCACGCTCTGATGGCATGTAAGAGACAGCTGGGAGGAGGACGTGTGTTTGATGCACTGTGTGCTACTCGCACTGTGTGGCTTCGTTCAACATTCACATGAGTCAATGCAACTCTGACCTTTCATGGTCTTGGACTACGATACAAACAGGTAACAAGGTTGTATTTTTCCATTTGGAGCATAAAACCTCTTGACCTTGCTGCTTTTCTGTCCGTGTAATGCAAGATGAGTAATCCCAGCATTCAACACGGGCCCTTCCTGTGGAAAATACAAGCAAATCTTATCCATCCTACCAAGCCAAGCTAAACAAGAGTGTTTCTTTAAATACTACTGTTTGAAAGTTTGGGCTTGATAAGCTTTTGAAATACGTCTCTCACGCTCATCATGCATGTATTTAAACAGTAATATTGGGTAATATTGTTACAATTGAAAATGATTACTTCCTATTTTAATATATTTTAAAGTGTAATTTATTCCTGTAATGGCAATGCTGAATTTACATCAGCCATAATGCCAGTCTTCCTTCAGAAATCATTATAATATGCTGATTTGGTGCTCAAGAAACATTTCTTATTTATTATCAATGTTGAAACCAGTTGAGCTGCTTAATATTTTTGTGGAAACAAATCTTTTTTGTGCAGGATTCTTTGATGAATGGAAATTTCAAATGAACAGCATTTACAAGAAATCTTTTGTCCTTTAGTCTTTACTATCATTTTTGATCAATTTAATACATAAAAAATAATATATGTACAGTATATATAGGGTGACCATGCATCCTCTTTTTCCCAGACACATCCTTGCCGTGATTTCTATATTGCCTAAAGGTTTTGGCTTTGTTTTCCTGTTTTCATACTTGCTAAAAGTAATGATTGAAAAGTAGTTTGACCAATAACATGCAGGCATTGTACATAACCAACCAATCAACTGATGTCATACAACGATTGGTCTGCACAATGCTGCTTCAAGATGAACACACCTAATATGTACGAGCATTTGCATCACTTTGACCGTTCTCTGTAGGTCCCACCCTCTCATACACCATGATCGGTAGATTCTGTAGGACGTGTCTAGGAAAAAGAGAATGTATGGTCACCCTACTAGTATCTGATGCTGCTTAGTACCTGATGGACTAGTAAAGCCATGTTATTTCTCTAGCAAGTTTAGTGGGTGAATTGGTAGACTAGTTACAAAGCTTGAACACAATCCCTGAAGACCAGAATCCAAAACACATGCTTCACATTCTAACGCGTCCAATGTTGACCAGCTATTTTGGTCTTTTCAGCAGGAATGGCACTCAGTGGACCCACAGAATAAATGTCTCAAGGCATAGCTAAAAATCCAGCATGGCAGCAGACATAAGTTTGGACTGAAAATCTAAACTTCCACACGGCCCATGGGGCTCATTGCAGACAGGAGGCCAGAATTCAATATACTTACACAGCTGCCCAAAGCCCATCCAGTGATAAATGTCTGCTGTCCAGTTGCCAAGAGGGACCGACTCATTCCAAATCAATTGAACCTTGTTATTCAACAATTACACCCATCTTTTTGCTGCATGATGACGGAAAGAAGGTCACTGGCACATGACGCATCATAAATACTCACCGGTGCTGAATATTGCTGTGTACTAAATTCTTGGCACGGCCCATCTTTCGTGCATTTACCAGTCACTGCAGGAACATAAGTTAGAAGCTTGTGAGGAGAACTGCAGCGGCAAAAAATTTACGGTGGGAAAATTTCCATGAGTGACAGCAACATTGCCAGCCAAAAAATAAATAAATAAAAATATCAGCAATGATTGTACGCTTGGATTCACAACAGGCCCAATGTGACCATTTGGGAATTTAATTATTAAACTCATAACAGATGTATTATAAACATTCAGTTCCTTTGAATTTATTCACACACACACCCCCCCCCCCCCCCAAAAAAATTTATCACAATCAGTTCCTTTGAATTTATTCACACACCCACACCCCAGACATACCGGTAATTCAATCAAATGCGATTTGGTTTTCAAGAGCTCACATTTAAAAATGACTGCATAATATCCTTTAATTATGAGATTAATAATGATAGCAGTTAGTCATGCTGCGTAATGGAAGCTTAAATCTCACAAAAAAAAGCTAATTGGGAGGGTGGAGAATGAGTTTTTGGATGTCTGATATGCAGCTGGTCTAAAATAGACCGGTCAGCAAGCCATGGAGAACCATGTCATTCGCTCATGTCAGAGGGAAGATTCAGCTGTGTCATTAGAAGAAGTGTAATGCCATGACAGTGCATTGTTACATCGGTTCACATACGAAAGAACAAGAACAATGGAGAGAAAGATGACAGGTGAGTTGCCCCACGCACGCAGTGATCAAATACAACCTAGTGCAGGGGCTGCTGGGTAAGTTCTCTCCCTGGCAAATGTTGCCTTCATTAGATGCACGGAGAGCCAGTACCTCCAGGCTAAACCACACTCAGAAACTGGTGAGGGACCAGAGTTCCTGTTTATGGCAAACTCTCAAAAAGGACTTCCTGTCAAAATACAAGTCTCCCTCTCTGATTGTACATAAAACTCACTCACAGATGCACTCAAATGTTGTCCCATAAGTCCCGTAAACAAGCAAACTACTTTCCTAAAGCAAATACGAGTGCTTGCAAGAGAAACAAAAATGTTTACAAGCTGCATGTGCTGCTTCATCATTGACAAGACATTTGCAAGTTTTGTATTCTACAATGGATTGATGGTAAATACCTACAGTATATCATCCTGCACTCTTTTGTCTTTCAAAATATCTCATTGCTATTGCGTAGGGTTGGGTGATATGATTAAATCTTATACCACGATATGAGTAATTTTATTTCACGATAACGATCATAAAATGATAAATAAAACAATATCAACATTTTTGATACCATAGAAATTTCATAATACATGTCACCAGTGTCAATATCACAAAATACTAGCCTAAAAATTCAAGCTCACAGTAAACAGTCAGCGATTAAATAAGAATAAGAAACTAATTGCGAGCAATAGGACAAAAAAAACTACAGTAGAACAAACAAATAAGAAATGCTACATTGTATAAAGTAATCAAATGAAAAAAAATAAAATAAAATAAAAAATCTTCACTCTGTAAATTAAATATACATTTCTTATTAGAGTTACAAAAGTGAATTAGTCAAGAGCAGGGAGATCAAGAAGTTTTCTCTCTTTTGTTGTCTGATTAACATGAATGACAGACAGCAGGAATATTAGACTGCTGTCACTTTAAAAGCTGCCCGGATCCAATATACTGTTACATGTGTGTTTTCCTTCTCAGCTGTTTTCTTTCACTTAAGACCTAAATTACTATTTTTACGAGGATACTTGCAATGACAAACATTTTGGTGCATACAAGTGTATGTATTTAATTGTTCAAGGCCAATAGAAATGCCAAAAATTACTCTGACCTCTCTGACAGCGCGCATATAGCGAAATAAATTCTCTTTTGCAGCTGAATGTGTTTCAACTGCTTAAAATTACTTGTTTTTTAAACCACAATGCTTAAAAACATGTGCAAACATTAAGGTTTCGTGACCACGTAGGACAGCAACATCACATGAGCGTGTAACCGTGATAGAGACGATAGTCCAAAATCTCTACTGGTCGACAAATTTCTAGCAGTGTCTAGCAGTATATTGCCCACCCCTACTATTGTGGTGTGAGAAACCGCTGCTAACAATTCCGTGTGTGAATGAACTGTCCAAATGAATCAAACTGCATCATAAAGAATTTCAGACCTTTTTGCAAACCCATTTGACCGATTATAAACAAATAGATTATAAACAAACATGATTATAAACATGATTGTTGAAATATTATCAGAAAAAAAATATTCTCAGATTAGTATACGTCAATCCCACTGACACAAAGATTTATCAGTAATATTTTATTGGGGCAAAATGGAATTTCACTGAGGTAAAAAAGTCTAGCAATACCCCTGGGCTACACATAAGAATCAGCACAGAGTCACTGTGCAGTAAAAACCACTCTAGAGAAAAACAGTTGGCTTCTGGAAGTAAAAACTTCTCCATAGTGGGCAGACACTAGTGTGCCCTATAAATGGTTAAATATGTGAACAGAATACAGGACCAATCATAAATCAGTATGCAAATATATACAAGAAAGAAGACTAGTCACAGTTCAGTATTTAAATACTACAATGACATACCTGTTAGCTATCAACACATTATCCCTCATCCTCAAAAAACAGTGCTGCCTTTCAAAACTGTAAACGGAAATACTAATCATGGCATACAGAATACCTGAAGCCAGATTTTTTTCTTTTGAAGTAATTAAAATATTTTTCATCACACTCAATCATGGATTTCTCTGAAACAATGTCTATTCCCTGTTCTGATTAAGATAAATTGTTGTGTGAGGGAAACACAGCAAGAGTGCAGTAAGCAAGAGAGAGAGAGAGCAGCAAAGACAGTGTGTGTGTGTGAGTGTGCACACATGAGTGATTTAGAAAATTACATTCAGCCTGTGGTAACATCCAGGCACGTTCCAGTGGCCTCACAGCACTCCTCAACTTATCCTGCCTTATTCACCTTCACCACACTCTCAGTTAACGGCCCCACAGGAAACACTGGATACTGGGCCACAGCCCCATGAATAACGAATTCAATGGCCCTTAAATACAACAGCGAGCGATTAACGAAATGATTAATATTGATGTGTCAATGCCAGCTGATATATACAGGATGCATGCAGTAGAGCATAATATCTGCTCTATATTTTCAAGCCGGCTGACGTTAAACACTCCATTTGACCTGGGTTAGACCTACGGTTCAGTGTGGCGGATTTTCAGATTTTCTGTAAAAGCCCTGTGTAAAAATACAAAGATGGGCCAAGAAATAGAAATGTACATTCATTAACCTTCATTTGAGAGCACCACAATAGTCCTTCTAAGTAAACCAAAGAGGACTCACAGGAATACTCCACTTACACGAACGAATGAATCACACTGTTTTGTTCATCTCTCAGCAGCAAGGCCTCTGAATAACAAATCAGCCGTTTGCCTCCATTTAATCCTCGTACCTTTATTTCTGCTGATAAGAAAGCTGTACATGAGAAAAAGGTCACAGTAAAACACAAATCAGAACTCACCTATTTCATACTTAGTAATTCATACCACCATTCATCAATCAACCCCTATCTGAACTCTACTAAGTGGTGTGCTGAACACAAATTAGAGAAATTCTTAAATTCCCTTCAGGTCGTGAACAGTAGCACAATAGGCCACTAACTGAAACTTACTAGAGCAGTTATTATACTACCATTCATAAATGTGAGATTGATTTTATATATACAGTATATATATATTTGTTGAAACGCAGGCTTCATTTACTTGATCAAAAATACTGTAAAAATGTGCATTATTATTACAATAAAAAAAACAGTTTTCTGTCTTAATATATTTTGTCAATTTTATCTTTTAATTTATCAACATTAATCAAAAGTTTTTAGGAAAAATTCATATCAGAAAGATTTCAAAAAGCTGGTATCTTTACAATCCTCTTTTAGTCTATTGAAATATTTTGCCTACTGAAATCGGATGCATGGATGCATTTTGAATTCCAAATTGCCCTAACATCTCTAAAACTACCCCCTGTTGATGAGCATTTATTTTTAAATATCTCTGACATAAATATGCAAACATTCATCCTTGCCTCTGAAAACCACAAGACCCCATTTAATTCTCACAAATGATTTCTTCCACTTTAACTCAAAGCACCCCTATCCCTACTCGGCCTGTGCACGAGATGTCTAGGATATTGATCAGGACTGATGATGCTGTCCTGTCCAGCACTAGATTTCTCTCAGTGCTCCCCTGATCCACTCAACAAAGCGACTGACTGACAGCTGTAGATCAACACGCCTGATGAAGTCTCCAAACAGACAGACAGAATCATTCTGACAGTCATGTATAACAGCTAATAATCAAATGGATATCACTGTATTATTAAAAGGAAGACATCATAAACAGTTCCGTAACTATCAGCACTTACTATATCATCCTGATCTGAAACGGCACTTCTTAAAAGTAGGGTACACTTA